CACTCAAGTTGCTAATTACTCCCCGTATGTTCCTGGAATTACGTTTGCGTCAGCGGTGAATTTTTTCAAGTGAAGGAAGGGATGTGTCGATAAAGTATTAAGCGACATGAGAATCCACTCATATAAATGCCCATGGTAGTACAGTGGCTAGTATATCTCGCTTTCACCGAGGTGACCAGGGTTCGATTCCCTGCCTTGGAAAATTATTTTTTTCCATTTATACAAAAAATGTATATTAAAACGATCTATAGCGATAATCTACACCAAAAAACAGCACCACTACATTCATAGACCCCAAATAGGATCCCCCTAACGACAACGACCGACAAGTTGTCGCGCAATACCCTTCATGATACAGAGTTCCAACACGGCGAAAGACAAAGTTCTGAGCAACTATGCCCGAGCAGATTGCGCGTGAGCCCACGCGGCTTGAATGCGACGTAAAATTTCCACAGCGTCTGGAGCAAGGTAGCCCATAGTGTCAAAAGCAAATGGAAGGAAGCCAAACCCAGCAAGATTACAGGTACCAACATATTTCTCCTTTTTATCGTGAGCGGCTGTACGAGCAGCTTCACCCAAGCCACGAAGATCCGTATGGGCTATTAGATATGATTTACTTCACGTCGAGTATCCACCTCTGGAAGCCTATTCTTTTGGGCATATCCATGTTGGATGGCGGAAAAGTATTTTGGGTTATATGTCACAGGAATATACATCATGGTTCTTTGTTTTCGGAAATAATGCCTCTTAGGTTTGACAAGAAGTTGTCTCTTGTGATGGTGTAACTCTATTCTTACTCTAACTGGGACTACAGGCCTAGATATTGATCTTGAGGTGCTTACAAAGATAAACGAGGATCTTGGTCAAAGGAAACATACACGTTTTTTTTATGGGCGTTGTGTTTTTGGTCTCATGACAGCAGCTTGATTTTCATATCGTCGTCGTGAATCCAGCTTTTGTACCAGATCTGAAATGAACTGTAAAGAGGGAATGAGGTCAAGTTCAGTTATGGTCTCATGTGTGGCTTCAAAGCATCTGCTCATGAATCATCTGATACGTAAACACACATACCATCATCTTTTCACGTTCAGATGGAGCATGCCTCAGCATAGACTTGTGAAGCGTTTCAGCCGAGTTGAATGTCATAGACTCTGGGCTTGTTGGTGATTTTTGAGCAGGTGTTGATGATGATGTGGCCGTCTATGAAAAATGCAAAGATACGTCAGGATATACTGTACAGTACTCATGAATACACAAATAATTCATCGCAACCATTCTAAATACCCTACAGACCTGTTTATCAACGGTGATTCTAGCCTTGTTGAGTCGTTCGACAGCAGCACCCAACCTTCCAACCTCCAATTTGATGACTTGACGATCCGTCAGGGCTACACGCTGATCGTCCATTGATGATGACCTGCTCATATCTGACAGTTCTATGCTACTTCCTAGAGAGGATGTCTCCGCTACCATGTCGTGATACATGACAGCTATTTCAGCGCGGGCACGCTCATACTGGCTGAACCGATGTAAGAGAGTGGTGAATCCTGAGTATGGTCGTGCTGATGGATAGGCACATGGTGGGAGAGGTCCATATACTGCATGTTCTAAGGGTGTGTGTCCGTTCATCGTTGATCGGTTTTAATGTTGTGATTGTCTACGGTCTAGATGACGTGTATGGTCGTTGCTTGTAATAGATCTAATAGTTCTAGTAGTGCAGGTCTTGGAATATCACGTCCTTTCTTATTTAAACTCGAGTTTAGTTCATCAGCTTTCCAGATTTCTTTCAAACAAGAGCAAACAATAATATCAGTCGCAGTCTCTAATAAGAAGAGATGGCAGCTGGTGCATCTTCCTTTGACGTTGAATTCGTAAGTGACTTACTAGGTTCAATTCCAATCTAATCTTGAGCTCTAACAGCAAGTTGGTTAAAACTTAGGGAGTTACAGATGAGCAGCTCACAGGCAGTCAGTTCCAAGCACAGCTCGATGAGGCTCTAGCAATCAAACATGAGAAGTGGACTACTACGGGCAAAGGCAAGTACAAGAAACATCCACCTCTGAACTTTGACACTTTCTGACATCAACATTGAACTGCGCTGCGCCATTGAAAAGAATCATTTCAGACCATTAATCCGTATTTTTTATTATTTCATTATTCAGATTATGCAATAAAATATGGCTTCAATGACAAGATACTAGTCAGTAATGGCGGATCTGCACCTTCATCGTCTCAGAAGCTGGAACTCATGACCCCAGATGACAGACGAGCTGCTGAAGATCGCGCTCATTATGAGCAAATGAATGCCTTATCGGACGAGCAAAAGATGCTGGTGGATCTGGTAGTTCAGGGACGGTCAGTCACTTGATTTCACGTTATAACAAAAAATGGTCAAAAAATTCATAACGCGACTTGACATCTTTTGCAAATAGAAATGTCTTCTTTACTGGCTCGGCAGGAACTGGAAAATCCTTCACTCTGAACGTTGTCCTCACGGTCTTGAGGAGGCTCAACAAGAAGATTGCAGTCACAGCTCCAACGGGAATCGCTGCCATGCAGGTATCTCAGAAGTCAAAAATGTCGTGGTCTTCTTATAACTGATCGATATCTGATTTTGCTTTCACTACGTAGATAGGAGGACGAACCATACATAGCTTTTCGGGAATTGGAATTGAAAAGCTCTCCAAGCAGGAAACCACTCTGAAAATCCTAAATCGATCTGACAAATGCAAAGAATGGAAAGCTACCGAGGTTTTAATCATCGATGAAGTATCAATGTTTTCGAGTGACCTATTGGAAAAATTGGAGGACATCGCAAGAACGGTCAGAAAAAACAATCGTCCATTCGGCGGCATTCAACTTGTCATGTCGGGTGATTTCTTCCAATTGCCACCTGTGCCAGAAGATAGGTAAGTAAATCTGTCGCGCATCCTTTGTCTCTCAGCATCTGTATATATCTAAGGATGACTGCTCTTTGCATAGGTCCTGTACTTCTTGTGGATCTGGAAAAGTCAGGTATCCCAGATCAGAAAATGCTCTGTGTCTTACGTGTCAGGTACGTCAAATGTATTCAGACATTTTACTTATACGTTTCGTTTATAATCTAACTTTATCCCGATCTAGCACAAATTTGATGCTTCAACATGCTATGCATTTGAATCTCTTGTTTGGAAATCATTGAACCTGGCTACTATTGAACTCACTCGAGTTTTTCGTCAGAGTGACGAGGCGTTTGTTAGGTACAGAAGTCAAAACTTCCAATTTATAGCGAAGAACCAAACTGACACTTTTGATTTTAGTGCTCTGAACTCTATCAGGAAGGGCGACTATACAGTCCAAGCTAGAAAAATGTTCGACTCTTGTCGAAGACCTCTTCAAGTCGCTGGGGGTGTTTTGGCAACCAAGTTGTATCCTCTCAAAGCAAATTGCCATGAAGAAAACATGAAACATTATAAAGCACTACCAGACCCCACTCCTCACAGATATATTGCGCGAGACGGCTGTAGCCCTCCAGGACACACCAACAGATTTGAGCAGCTTGATGTAAGTAAACAATGCGACAAGTTGCTTTTCCTTGATCTACCAGCTGGTATTCATATCTTTGGCAATAGAACATGGTGCAAGCTCCAAAGGAGTTGGAATTGAAAATCGGTACTCAAGTCCTTCTCCTTGTCAATGTCAATACCGCTGGTGGATTGGTAAATGGCTCTCGTGGTGTCGTAGTAGGCTTCGACATAGAAGACCCGGTCGAGCAACCAGTTTCTTATGGCAACAGGAGCAACGTTCCGAGAACCGCGTTTGATGAGAAAGTTCCAGTTGTGTATTTTGCATGTGGGGTCACCCAGAAGGTCGGTGCTGCAGCATTGTGAATTCTTTAGAAGCCGTTTGGACCAAAATTCGTTTAAACTCGCTAGGTGCCCAGGCATAAGTTTGATGTCAGTGTTGGTCAAAACAAGACTATCTACCGTCACCAATTACCACTGACATATGCGTAAGTGGCAAGACAGTATTTCGAACTTGTTAATCCCTAGCGCCAGTGTTTTGACGTTCCTCGTCTTCTAATGTAGTTGGGCCATAACGGTACACAAGTCACAAGGCATGTCCTTGGATAAAGTAGCCATGGACTTGAGCAAGGTATATTTCACCTACCGAGGAGCATTATCGAGATGCTCTGAAAACATACTGCATAAACTAGGTCTTTGCATGTGGACAAGCATATGTCGCTCTGTCAAGGGCACGAACACTTGATGGACTCGAGCTTATTGCTGCATCTAATGCTCAGGCTATCCCTGACAGAGCTGTGAGAGCCGATCCAAAGGTCCAAGAATTCTACAGACATGCGACTGGGCCACAAGAGCAACATCATCAACACCAACAACACCCACCAAAACAACCATTCTCCACTAGTAATGCTCCTCTTCATCCGACAACTATAGAATCTCAAAGCCATCAAGTCAGCAACAGGTCAGAGCCATCCATTGACAAAAATTGGAAGACAACTTTACGATTGGCCGCTAGTCAATATGCCCGAGTTAATGGTACTACTGGGGCAGCTGAAATGTTCAAACAAGCTGCAGTTCAAGTATTCGAAGAAGTTGCCGTTGTGAAGGCAGTAGGAACACCCAGCGGCACTAGTAATGATAAACAGGTACCAGATGTGGTAACTCGAAGGCCATTACCTTGGCAGAATAGGTCTGCTGATACGAAACAAAAGTCGTCACAAGCTGCTGCCTTGGATAGATTTAGGGCCTCACAACCATCTGCTGCTGTCAACCCCACCTCGGCACCAGTTGTTCCTGACTGTACACCTCGATCAAATCCAATCGTCCAAAATGCCATCAAATCCAGGAATGCTGCTTTGGATAGAAATAGTAATACAGATAGTGTTATGAAACAGTGGCTCGCTACACCAACCCAAACCAATGTAACCAAAACAGCAACAGAAGCACCACCACGACAACGATTTGCATCATTTGATGGAGATACCAATGCAACCAAACGAGTTAAACTAGATGACGACAATGAATCGTATAGACCCACCGCATTGTCTCAAATGTTAAAATCGACAGCAACCATAACAGCAACCACAACCTTTACATCCTCATCCTTCCAAAATGCCACACAAGTAGTACCAGCACAGCCTTATGAACAACCGATAAAAAAACAACAACAACCATCTATCATACACGAATCAGTAAAAAGTGGTAGTCAGGTACTTGTTGCAGCATGTGCGGAACCGGAACCCGTCCGTGCTGTCAACAAGAGGGCAGCTCCTGCCGAAGTCATCAAGGTAGATTCAGATGATGATACCGAGATCGGTGATGATTTTATGGACAATCTGTGATGATGGTGGTTGTATATTGTGGAGGTGGTTATCTGTTTGGAAATATTACAAGTTGTAAGTAGAAATCATGTTGTCATCCTCTTTGTATTTAGTGCTTCTGGTCTTTTTGTTCAAACAAAGTTTCATACAAATTTCACACGCATTGATTCACGGTTAGCGGGTGTCTCCACCATCTTTCTCGTGAAAAGTCGGTTAGGTACAATGATTCAATGGTCCTGTTGTATCTTCTCGGTTTGTTGTTGAGGTTTTAGCGTGGAAAGGCCTTGCAACAACACAAAGCACGCAAACAACTTTGGCAGTGCCCGTATAACCGACGCAAAATATGTCAACTCGTGGATCTCTTTCTGGTAGCAAACGGAAAGATGCAAGTTGTTTTACTTTGCTCAATTGTAACTGCTCGTGACGGCAGTCTTCTTCTCACAATTTGACTCGAAAGCAGAGAGCTGGTGAGGATATGCCACCAGGAGGTAGCCAATTCAAGACAAGTATAGAAGCAGATTTTGGAACTAATCGTAAAGACGGAAATGACAAAGGCAAGCCAAAATCGAAAAAGCTTCAACGTCTGCGCTTTTGCACATTTGTGACATCAACATTGAACTGCCCCAGTAAAACCCAGCTCTACAGCCCCCAACGAATTATTTTTCGTTCTCAAATCATTTTGGTGATGACAGAAATCATGCATCCAGTCACAAAGTTCCATCTGCGCCACGTTCGTCTCATCGAAGTACTGAGGTCATGACGCCTGAAAAAATCGAACGTGCTGATCAGGCGCTCACACGTCAGCTATCAGATGAGCCAGAGAGACTACTCAATTTGGTTCGTGAGGGAAGGTATGTCAGTCATTGCATTTGATGTTTCGTACGGGAAACAGCATCATAATAGTGAACATAATTATGGATCAGGAACGTCCTGATTACAGGATCTGCTGGAACTGGCAAGACGTTTGCATTGCAAGCTGTGATGCTATTGAAGATGCTCAACAAGAATGTTGCTGTTACTGCGCCAACTGGCATTGCTGCCATTCAGGTCCTTACGAGTCTGTTGCGATTGTATTGAAATATTTCATCACCAACACGAATTCGTCATTCATAGATTGAAGGCTGCACTACTGATAGCTTTGCTGGCATTGGATTCGATCGTCTCTCCAACCTCCAACGAAGAAACCGTTGCCAGAATACTCAACCACTAAGCCAAAGTCGAAGAATGGAGTATCACCGTAGTTCTGGTCATTGACGAAGATGCTCGAGTTTGACATTTTCGAGAAGTTGGATTATATGGCACAGACTCTCAGGAACAATCGGCAACCCTTCGGTGCATACAATTGATATTGTGTGGTGACTTTTACCAGCTGGCGCCTGTGCTGATAATGTAATTAATACGTGTTTTCAATTTTTTTCTGAATCTTTGTGTTTTTTGAGAAAGTGATTGATCTTTTAATCGTAGATCTCATTCGTGCACGTCGAAGTCCGGAGAATACCTATGGGATTCGTGCAACGTAAGCTCGTCCATATCACGGATACAGACGTTGCTCACGAGTTATGGATAATTTTCTCCTCAACGATCGTCCAGATCCGATTTGATCCATCCAGAAAATACGTGTTTCAATCACCGCTCTGGAAGGTGCTGAACTTGGCCAGTATTCTATTGACTGAAGTTTTTCGTCAAGTTGGCAGACCATTTGTAGAGGAAGCTATTGAAAGGTCATTTGCGAGGCCCTCTACTAACTGGCTCGTTCGGGTTTTAGGGCAGTCCCTTACTCCAAAACTCGACCAGCACCACCAATCGTCCAGAATACCATTAAATCCAAGAACGGTAATCTAGCTTGTAGTACAGGTGTATTGAGACCATCGCTTGGCAAAAGATCAAGCAGTCATGCTCCAATCCAACCCATTAAAATCTCACCACCAATACAACCTAATAAACGGGCGCACCAGTACCTGCCACTGCATCACTCAAACGACCAAATACGGACAATCGAAATGCCAGCCCATTCAACATATTGGCATCTACACAGCATCAACAACATCATCGTATCAGCAGCAAGTCAACCACCAGTAGTGGCAGCACTGGATCACTAGTATCAGCATCACCAGAACTGAACCGGGCCTCAACCCAAAACAAACGAGCTGTCGAAGTCATCGATTTAACAGCAGAGGACAAAGATCCCGATAAACCTCCATCCAAACGATTGAAACGTGGTACTAGTAACTCTGATACACCAATACCTTCATCATCAGCCACAACCACTGTACCTTCTTCAATCCTGACCATGAGGTTCGAGTACGTCCAGCTCCTAAAACATCTTGGAGAAAGCCTCGACCAGCAATTCCCAAGAACTTCCCGGCAATCATTAATCGTAGTGGCAGGGATAGTAATGAACCAGAAGCACCAGAACAAACACGAGTAGCAGAGACTAGTGAGATGATTGTCATTTCTGATGGGGAGGATGAAGGTGATGAGGATGGTGAAATTGTATTACTAGAAGGAGGAGAAGATGGTGGGGATGAAGATAGAGAGAGGACATGGGAAATAATTCGCAGAGACAGCGGAGTGACTGCCGAATGCAATGATGTAGTCAATTTGGAACAGACGAATTAGAGAACGACAATTATGGAGTCGTTATGAGAAGACGAGATGATGATGAGGCTTGTAGTGTGATTGTTCGCAAGCCGTGGGAACATATGTTAGAAAATGAGATATGTAGTAGTAGTGAGTGACATTTGATCTCTATACTGTATATATACCTCGACCCAAACCATCCTCCAAATACACGAAACAACACCGCATAACAAACCGTCTAAGTTCCTTTCACGAACAGTCTATTTCTCTACATCCAATATATACACCCAAATCTCTAGCGTCATTGCTTACTATGTTAATTTACGACGAGTCTCTTTAACGACATATGCCTAAAGAAGATTCAAGAGAGGTGAGAGTGGGTCGGCGTAAGAGAAAAAAAACCCCCGCACGAAGCAAGAGTAGGTAACCATGAGGGTTTGGTTCATAAACACCTTACCTGTATAACATCACCAGGCACGAACCCACTAAATCCATCAAAGCCCATTCCACATTCCATTCCTTTAGGTGCTTCAGTTATATCCTTTTTAACATGTTTGAATGTCTTCAAGCCTCCTATTAAACCAAAAAGTGGTTGGCATGTGTTTCCCAACAGAAAAAAACTCTCGAGGCCAATTTAAAACACGTACCATTATCATACACAACAGCTCCCTTCCTAACAACCCTAATCTTGTCCTTCACACTGACTTTACCACTCAAAACACGACATCCAGCTACTTTTTCAGTCTTTTTCTTGATGTGTATTTCAAACTCTTGTAGAATTTCAGCTTCTCCCACAACTTCAGTTGATATTATAGGTGGTAGCAAGTCACTTAGACGTTCTTTTAGGTCGTCGAGTAGCTTGTATATAATATTATGTGGGACAATGTTGACGTTGGATAATTTGGCTCGGGCATTGATTTGGGATGTAATGGGGACGTTGAATGTTATTATATGTGCTACGTGAAATTAGAAACAGAAAATGATCAGTTGAGAATTGGCGATGCTTTTTTTTGCGCTGTGAAGGTTACTAAAAGACACTCACCACCAGCAGCAACAGCTAAATCTACATCAGAATCAGAACATGGTCCAACTCCAGAAGCAACCATAGTGACAGCGACTTCATGACTAGGTAGTCCCATCATAGCACTCTCAATAGCTTCCAATGAGCCATGCACGTCCGCTGTTACCCCCAAAAAAAAATATGTGAGTTTTGTTGCCAAGACGTCCATCGCCCAATATCGTACCTTTCAGAATAACCGGAAACTTGGGCACCTCCTTCTTAACTTCCAAAGGCTCTGCATCTACTTCCACCTCACGATTCTTACTATAATGACCATTACCATTGGTACTAGTAGTAGTGGCCTCACGCACTTTCCGATGTTCAGCACGTTGAGCATTCATAACTTCAATAGTTTTAACAGTCTCGTTACGATCATGTAGTAATCGTCGAGTAGATACAACAGCCTGGGCCAAGTTTTCATCAGAAGCTTCGACTACCACGTCACCAGCTTCTGGCACATCCTTCCATCCATATACTTCGACGGGTGTTGAGGGACCTGCTTCTTCAATGGTACCCGATTCGGTTTGGAGGAGTTTCACTTTACACCATGTTTTGCCTGCTACTAGTGTTGCGCCTGGTTTTAAGGTGCCTCGTTTTACTAGGACTGTTGCTACATTTCTACATAAGAGGTTTATCGTGAGTTCAAGAGCTCCACTGGGGCGGACGAATGAAACGAGGACGCCAAAAAATTTCACTTGACACCAGTAAATTGCACTCTCACACTCAAATACCTACCCTGCACCTTTACTCATCTTGGCCTCAACAATAGCACCTTCAACAGGACCTGTAGGATCACCGCGAATATCCATAACTTCAGCTAATGTAACTATAGTCTCTTCTAAGACGTCCAATCCTTTGCCAGTTAATCCAGAAATCTCAATAGCGGGTATTTCACCACCGAATTCTTCAATCACGATATTATGTTGAAGAAGACCTTCCTTGACTTTTTGCTATGGGTGTTGAAGGTCATAGTTTGAGTTCAACATGACTCGCAAAAAAACAGCGCTGACAATGTACTTACAACATTGACGTCTGGTTTATCACACTTGTTGATTGCTACAATGATGGGAACTACAACGTGGAAAATTAGATATCAATAACTATGTTGCTAAAAAACTCATCAAGTATCGCATGCCATACCTGATGCAGCAAGCGAATGCTTTATCGCTTCCACAGTTTGAGGCATAACACCATCATCAGCAGCGACAACCAATATCACAATATCAGTGATTTGAGCTCCCCGTTGTCTCATATTTGAAAATGCAGCATGTCCAGGCGTATCTTGGAAGGTGATTTGTTTACCACATGGTAGAGATACTAGGGAAGGCCAAACCTCATCAATACACTGTTCGTGCGGGCCTTTTGTTGCATCATCTCTTTCTTTCCAAAAACAATTTACCTGAAAAGGCCCCAATGTGTTGAGTAATACCACCGGCTTCACCAGCAGCAACCGAAGTCTTTCGTAACGCATCAAGCAACGTCGTCTTTCCATGGTCTACATGACCCATGATGGTGACGACTGGTGGACGTAGTGGGTGTTGCGACCACGATTCGGGAGCAGGTCTAGTTTTGATTGTGAGTAAATTACTAAAAAAGAAGCAAACTTCCATTCAACCAAATATTCAAATACCTTGGTTTCAAGTCAATGTCAGGTAACTCTGGAACGACGGGTATCATATTGAACTCCAATACAATGTTGGATGCGACTTCAGAAGTCAGTACTAAAACGCATGGAGAGTCGTACATCAGAGAAACCGATAGCGTTTCGTTTGATAATAATGCAAGAAGAATATCTCTTTTTTTGCTTACCATGATCAGCAACTGCTTCCTCCTCCATACCCATTTTACGCATAGTGTACATCAACTTGTCTGCAAAGAGAAGTTGGTGTGAGTAAGACTGTTGGTTGAGATCTTCACAGCAACAGCAGCAAAAAACTCCAGACTGGATGAGGAGGGGTATGTTGAAGCCAGACTGTAACAAGTCAATGTATACATACCTAGCTTTACATTCAACAAAGACGATAAATTAGCAGTAGTGATTCCTTCAGGCAACACGACACTCTTTGGTTCAAGAGCAGCAACATCAGCAGCAGCTTTCCGTTCAGCCTTCCTTTTTCTCTTTTCTTCGATAGCCACCCACTCCTCTTCACTCATATCTCGAGCACTACTAGACAGTACATCATCTTCGGATGATTTCTTGCCTCGTTTCGACATTATTTTAGTAGATTCCTTGTTGTGTGGTTTTGCTTTTGATTTACCGTTACGATGTCTATGATCTGTAACTAGATCAAGGTCGTCTGCATCTTCTGATGTGCTTATTTCGTCTATTATGGAGGCTGGAGCGGCTTCTTGTTCTGTAAATACAGGAGTTCTACTATTGTCAAGCGAGGTGTTGGTATCAAACGGGGCACTGCGACTATTATAATTACTACTACGTCGATCTGGGTCCTGCTGCACCTTTATGTTACTATTACGATATCTGGTTGGTTGATCAGGAGTCCTGAATGCCGCTGGTCGATTCGGGCCAGAAATATAAGGGGCATCGTTGTATTGTTGCCTACTCTGGCCAGCACGATACGGAGCACTATTACCATTACTTGTATTCTGCTGATTTATATTCTTTCGTAATTCACCAAGAGTAGATTCCCAGCCAGAAACAGGTGGTATAAACCTCGATGGAGGTTGAACGTTTTGGTGCTGATACCGTTGAGCATTCTGCTGGTCCCGTTGAGCATTCTGCTGGTCCTGAGCCTGCTGATACTGACTGCGTCGAGAGCGTAGATGCGACGGCAGTCCTTTGGTAGTATTACTACTGGGGCTAGTTAAAGTCTGAATGGATATAGATGCCGATGATGGAGCACTTGTACTGTTTGAGGCAGCACCATTTACGGGAGGAGGAGCGGACCGCTTTAATTTGATCAGAGTTTTAAGGCGATCCATGTTCTGCGTGCCTCCACCGAGTGGTTTGGTCAACATTGGCGATGCTGAGGTTGAATTTGATGTGGATGATGCCGACATTGAGGAGCTGTGTAGCGTGGCCAGGAAGGACTTTGGCAACCTTGTGGAGCAGTATGAGCATCTGAGACAGGTATAAAGGGTATTTGGATGTACTGGCTTCATCGTGTTGATTGCTAGGACTGAAAAAGATGTCAAAACATGCAGCTTAAAATTGTTTTCTTGGATTCAATTGATTTCGTTTAAAGCGGTTGATGCATTGATACGACGAGGAAAGCAGGAGCGCACCTTTATATAGATCGTTCCTTGTCTCACACAGGAGCAACTTCTCCTTGCATTTTTTTGTCTGCAAAAAACGAAAGCGAGTCAAGGCTGAATTTTAAACTTGGACTTGTACATCTGAAGAGAAGCGAAATCGCATTTCTTACGTGTTTTGATACTGAGGATTGTCTTTACTACCGGTAGCTGCACTCCCTTCCACACTTCCACCTTCATCGAGAGGTTCACCAAACTTGAATTGAGGCCAGAAACGCGAGACCATGGGCCTATGCAAATGCAGGAATGTGACTAATCTCTTTTGCTTTGAGCACCGAAAGAATGTAAGTCTGGGTTGGTCTCGAACTATTTGGCTACTTGTCTGTAATGGATTGTTTCAATCGTGGTCGAAGGTTCACGGTTCCAACGAAAAGATCCTAACTTGTGCTTGAAAATATGCAAATTTAGGTCTGTGAAAAGTGTATCTTATCAGATCATCCAAGATGTGTTGGTAACGTTTGGATCTCGTCAACGTCAAAATACATTCAGTGACAATTATATACTCAACTACACTTCCACCATACAACTCCTAGTTCAAAGTTACCTCGCATGGCTACAAGACTCGGATTACGACGCCCTGTGTAAACTATGTAAACAGCAGCTGACTGGAGATGTCGTTAGATTGACATGTTTTGGTATGTGTTGAAGAGTATTGCGCTTGCTCATGAGGCGACTGACGCTTTTCGGCCATCTATAGACTTGTTCCATGTCGATTGCATCAACTCTCATTGCGCAAAACTCCCTGAACATACCGCTTCTGCTGGATATTCTTGTCCATCTTGCCACGTATGTCTTGAAGCGTCATGTCAAGCCCACTATAATTGCATTGTCGAGAATCTTATAACTGAAAACCACATATGCCAATGTTAGGTACCCATTATTCCACCCGACAATGTAAACTCCCAGATCGCTGAATTGGTCAGGAATACATTCCGAGATGCTTCTTGGGCTCAACACATCATATCCAAACGAGTGGTAAATACAGCAAAAGAAAACGTCGACTCGGTTCTATTCCCTCGTCGTGTACCTTCGTGTACCTCACCCCCATTATTCTACACTAGACACCAGCACCACAAGATCCACGGCTAGAACCATCACTGAATCCCATAAATAATAGTAGTAGCAACAGTAACTCTCAACTGGGAGGCACTTCAACATCTATTCAGTCAAATATTGCATCTACATCATCTATATCAAGGTTACCGACATCACCAATAGTGACGAATGGTATACATATGGGGGGAATACCGCCTAAAACTCCTCCAGGTACGACGCATTCGTTTGAAAAGAAGCACTGCCAAGGAAATGGCATATGAACTTGACTCATTTTTTAGGACCAAGAAAGTCATTGACGAAGTTTATATCAACAAGGAGTTCCAAGTAAGATAATATTCACGTTAATCAGGTATACCATTGCAACATAGAATCTCAATCATTTTCTTCTACGTGAAGGGACGTGGATGATGACAAGTATTCTCGAAAAGATTCTGGTGGAGATTGGTCGTCCATGCTCCTCTCGTAAGCAATTGACTATTTTTCAGAGCTCCCAATGTGTGCGTCTACTAAACAACGCATTTTCAATCGCCTTACATAGTACATTTCAGTCACGATTGACGACAAGACGGATCATTGTATTGGTGGTGGTTGCACTAGCTGTTGTAATTTTGGGTAGAATGGCATTTGCTCCTAGCAGTGGTGCAAGCAAGACGTCAGCAGATGATCTTGATGTTGATGAAGCAGAATAGAACAGAAGAACGTTAGAAATTCGACGATTGTGTGTAGTGTGGTGGTTGGGTTTGTCAGATAGGATCCCAGGAACCATGCTGACTGACACTGCACCACCTCGAGTATCTCAATGCGTGACAAAGATCACATATTGCAGTATGGCTCCAATGATAACGAATCCCGAGTTCAAGACTGCGAACAGTAAGCCTAACACGATCTCTGTTAGTTGACATGTTTTTGAGCGGTGTTCAGAGATAAGAAGAGCATACCATATCGTTAAGCCCCAGTCGTGTAAGACCATGGTATCGACAAACAGGAGTTCAGGCAATATAGCAACGCTGAGCCTGACACATATCAAGAATTCAAATATGAAAACACACATGCAGATACCATTATGGCGAAAAAAAGGATCTGAAAACGTTTGAAAGACCGAGAAGCTCAAAGAGCAAATGGGTTACCTCAACCCATTCAAACAAATTATAAACTGCTAATCCAACAAGAACAATGGGCATCTGGCCATGTTTGGAAATGTCAGAGAGTTTGAACTTGAGATGCATGTCCAGCAACCTTCAAAATAGAATGACTACGAGATGTAGATCGTGTACAAGCCTTAATAATTCATTTCTCATTCGGAAGGTCTGGTTTCAAAACACTTTGTCGAACTTGGCCATTTCTGAACAAGTTTCTGCCGGTTTGACAATGGCGGCCGATGAGAGAAGTTCGCCTTTCAAGATGATCTCGTGTAATTCAGTCTGCTATATTGTCAACGGATGTGATTACACTGCCGACTCTACCATAAAGTTGTTTGTTATTTTGATTTGCGTAGGTTGCAACAATTTAAATACCACAACTTAACCGCGTTCGACACGAGCCCGTGCGTCAATACGTCCAAAGCCTGTAACACTTGTTGCTCGTGTTGAATAAATGCCACAATGTTCATTGCTTTACATATAATACAAAATTGCTGTCGTCAATAGTGATTGTCAGTATATACAAAGTGTCTCATCAACCTAGAGACCAGTCTGCCGCGATATCGGCAAACGATGAGAATGATTCCTCTAAACTACAATCCGGTGCTTCTCTAATCTTGAGCCATCTAGTCAAGTCCTGATTCGTCACTGGCGTTATAATAACGGCCCGACCTCTATTACGTCCATATGCTTTAAATACAGCCAGCTTTCCAAATCCTCCCTGCGAGATGACTTGGTATTTCGTCATGGAGAGCAACCAAGCTTCAGCTACAGCTCCAGAAATAGTCGAGTTTACAGATGATGCGTCGGCCAGTAGTTGGATGTGGCCCAGCGGGACGTTTGTAGTGAGTAAGTATGGGCCGATACGGGGGTCGAGTCGTGCATGAGATCTTATATAAGGGGAGTCCGTTATGAGGAAGTAGACTAGATGAGATGTTGCTGGTCTATATGTCTGTGCTAGATCAATAGCACAACTGTTATTATTGGTAAGATTGAAGAAATGAGGATGAGTATCACTCAAATACATCATAGCTAGTGTATAAATAGTATTACTAATTCTTGGAAACACCACGACAAGACTTACTTCCAAAATCCATCAAAAAGATCCAAATCAGGTGAGTCCTGACTTGGATCTAGCAGTCCAGCATCTCCTGCTCGAATCTGAATACCAACAGAGAAGACAGCAGGATGGTCGAGTATTGGGGCATACGTGTTTATAATTTCCTGAGCGGCAGGAGATGGTGTAAACAAGAAATCTACAATACAGGAGAATGCTGTGGTTGGCCTCAATCCCAGTTCCCGTAATCTTGGACCGTAAAGTTTGGATTTAAACATTCTGTGTATGATGCCTCGATTTGTCACAAATCTATACTCGAATAGGGAGATTCTTTAGTCTGGTACCAGAGGTGAAATAAGAAGCTTCAATTATCCACGACTGGAACCAATGTAGCTTTGCACCCTCCACCACTAGAATTACCTTATGTAATCTTGAGGATACATCGCTTCCCAATCCTGTTCCAGCCACGCCCTATCAATCTCCCACCCTTGCCAATGCAAATGATTTACAACACGACCACCTTGGCTCACAAATGTAGTGTCTGCCCATGGCAATGACTCTGATCTCCAATCGATATGTGAGTATGCGAATACCAATTCAGCTGGGACTGGATGATCCCACTCCACTACAAAAGCCCGATTTGTCAATAAAGCGAATAGAAATACGGTCGTCATTCCTAATATACGATCAGCCAGACCCCCACAATGGACTGCTGAAGGACACCAATAGGATGCGAATTTTGGGTGTGGATGAGTCCTGTCCATCATGGATGCGTGCAAGTATTTATAATTGGATTGCCAGGTCCCACATTGATGAGGCGAGGCATCGTCTGCCGTGGGGTTCGTGACAGGTATAGAGCTAATCTTGTCCATCCATTCCTTTGTGATGTTGATCTGATGTTGATCTTCTCGGCCTAGTTCTAGCATTACGTCCTGTTGGATTTCACGATCCAATTGTAGTCTCCATCCTTGCTGCAGATTATGAGTTCGTTCCGGGACAGATACATTGTCGAATACATTGCTGAATATTGAAATGGTAATTGTGACGGATATCCATACAACGACAAAGATTAGGCCGGACCTACGAGTGCATCTATAGTGTGAATGCTGATGAGAGTCAATCAGCGTCGTCAATACTGCCATCCATTCGCGAAATTCAAATGATTTGGATGTTGTTCGAGCTTTGAAAAGAGGTGATATCCTCATATAATTATATAGCTACAAAAGTATGGTATTCCATCAATTGGAAAAGTTATAGTTCGCGATAATCGCGTCGTAGTCCTCTCTTCGTCTCTTCGTGTACTAAAATGAAGAAATTTCAAACGACATTCAAAGTAAAAATCTCAAACCCAGGCACTGAGACGCCATGTAAAAGGCTACAAACGCGTAAAATGTTCGAAGACAAAACCTCATTATTAAGATCAAAGTCAAGAAAAAACATTCTCTGGACGAACTCCAGCCACCACAAAAATCATTTTTCAAGCTTCACACTTTAGATAAAGGACACTTAAAGGAGCTGATTTTGTACAAGAGAATCTATTACAAGGTATGCTCTTGCAAAACCATTTGGGTAATAGAGGATATGGTGGCGTATCTGGTCTTTTTTGTTGCAGGAGATTGTTGTCAAAACGCACAAGAGGAATACAGTCAAGAAGGACCACTAATGTAACTGAACTTGTCAAAGAACTTTTGATTTATGTAATTTGAATCATTATTCTTCACTATCGCCAGCATCTGCTGCTTTTCATACTCCGACATTATCAACATTTGTGTAGTTGAAAAAAATCATTCTTTTTCACCAGCTTTTCAACATTTGATTGCACCTTTGACAACAAAATAATCACAATCCCACTACCGACTATCAGCGCTCACTGCATTTCTCTCACGTCTTGCTTTAGAATGACTGGAGCTAGCCCACAGGACAAATATGCCAGTCCGTTGACATCTCGATATGCCTCTGCTGAAATGTCATACAACTTCTCCGATAACAAGAAATTCAGCACATGGAGACAACTATGGTTGTACCTCGCCACCGCCGAAAAGGAACTAGGCTTGACAGACATCACCGATGAAGCTCTCACTCAGATGAAGGCCAATATACACAACATTGACTATGCAATGGCCGCTATAGAAGAAAAACGTCGTCGTCATGATGTCATGGCTCACGTACACACATTTGGTGTCGCTGCTCCAGCTGCTGCTCGTATAATCCATCTAGGTGCTACATCATGTTACGTAGGAGATAACGCAGACTTGATTTGTATCCGTGATGGATTTGACATCTTGATTCCAAAACTTGCTTCTGCTATTCAAAGCCTCGCTGGATTTTGTAAAACATATCGTGATTTGCCTACGCTCGGCTTTACTCACTTCCAACCAGCTCAATTGACCACCGTCGGCAAACGTGCTTCATTATGGGTCCAGGAACTAGTTATAGATTTACGAAACATGCAACGTGCTCGTGATGATCTGAGGTTTAGAGGTGTCAAGGGAACTACGGGTACTCAAGCATCCTTTATGGCCTTGTTTGATGGTGACCATGAAAAAATAGAAGCATTGGATAAACGAGTTACGGAAATGGCTGGATTCCCTTCTGCTTTTATCGTCACTGGTCAAACATACTCTCGTAAAGTTGACTTGGATGCTTTGGCTTCTTTGGCTTCTTTTGGTGCTACTGCACACAAGATGGCCACTGATTTGCGTTTGTTACAAAACTTGAAGGTACGTGTAGAAAGGTATATGTCCACTCGTTTCGAGAACTGTAGAGTTCGAGACGGTGTCCAGCCACGTTGAGGCTGGCACGAATGAAAACGAACACACTATACGATCATCACCCCAGCATCTTCTTACGAGTCTCATCACTCTATATCTTCTACCTAGGAAATCGAAGAACCATTTGAAAAAGATCAAATCGGATCCTCCGCCATGGCGTATAAACGTAATCCCATGCGATGTGAACGTATCTGCTCCCTAGCACGTCACTTGATGGTGCTCATCGGCAACGCCCAACAAACAGCTGCTCTACAATGGCTCGAACGAACCCTAGACGACTCTGCAAATAGACGCATCACCATCCCAGAAGCCTTCTTGACCGCCGACATCATCCTGACCCTGATACAAAACGTCTCAGAAGGTCTCGTAGTATACCCGAAAGTCATTGGTCGTCGTATATCCCAAGAGCTGCCATTCATGGCTACCGAAAACATAATCATGGCCATGGTCAAAGCTGGTGGTGATCGACAAGTATGTCATGAGGAGATTCGAGTGCTGTCTCACCAGGCTGGCAGAACGGTTAAAGAGGAAGGTGGTGAGAATGATTTGATTGAGAGGGTTAGGAAGACGGAATACTTTAAGCCTATATGGGCACAATTGGATTCCTTGTTGGATCCTACTACTTTTGTGGGTCGAGCACCACAACAGGTGGATCGCTTCTTGGCTGAAGAAGTCACTCCTGCTTTGGCTCCTTATAAAGCTATGTTGGAGAAGGGTGTTAAGCAGGAGGAAGTCAACGTATAGGTCTAAAGGCACAAAATTTGTACTGCCGGAATTTGCATTTTTTCGCTTTCAAGTATGCTCGTAGTTATACGATAAATCAATATAGACATCATAACAATTTTAAACTACACTCTGACAGTCCAAAGCCCGCACTTTGCCATTACGTTTCATTATTTGCGAGACTCTTATTATGATTCGGATACTACTATATTTTTTACGTAAACCTCCTCGTTACATTCGTCAAGTACTCGTAACTCCCAGCTGTCGATGGCGGTCTTGACAAATCACTCGGTAACACTTTTTTAGCAAACTGATCCATCTCTCGTGACAATAATGGTTCGGCAACTACGAATGGTTCTAGACAACACGTCTTGACTCGAAGTTTGCTGTTTGATGTTTTTGATGCTCTCAGTGTTGACCATCGACTTTCAGCTAAATCGAATGAAGCTGCTGGGATTGCTGGTCCTGTGGTTATATTGGAAGTAGCTGATGCTTGTTTCTCCAATGTACTGGTAGTCGTGGTGGTAAATGATCGACCTGATATAGTGGGAGTAGCCGACCAGGGCGCTTGTCGCAACCTCATACACTGTCGATCGGCAGGTTCATTATCATCATCACTTAGATAGTCATCTGCAGCTACTGTTCCGCGCCTGCCAGACCCTGGCCGAGAATCTATCAGTATGCCGTCTACGGGATCAGCAGCTGGTGCAAGCACAGATCTTACAGCCTTGCTGTGGTCCTTTCGTGTGGAACTAGTTGGTCTTGACTTGGGTTTTGAATCATTTCCTTTAGAGGCAGCGAGACCAATTGATCTCTTATTAGCTGATCTCCGTAGCTTTTGGCGAACAGATATAATGTCCATGGGTGTTGATGGCGTGCCTGCTCGTGCGACGGGTTTGGCGGATTTAGGACGGAGGACTGCTTCCGGTGGTGGTAGTGTATTGATTGAAGCTGTAGTGTTTACCATTAAATCTTTGCTTGGTTGCATATACATGTTTAACGAGGATTTCGATGATTTTGGTCGTGTGTGTGCTGGTGAATTAGGTCGCGACGGGTTTGACTGTAGTTGTGGTTGGTGTTGTTGGAAATGGTGCTGTTGCTGTGGTATTTTCAGCATCGGTGAGGATTCAATATGTGGCAGGACAGCTTTACGTTCCATTGCTCTGGTATCTACTATCTTGTCAGACTCCTGTATTATATCCAGAGCGGCGGCCATTAGAGATGCTGGTAGGGGTGGGGGCATCATTTTAGGTGACGAGCGTGCTGAAGACGCAACTGTAATTGTAGTAGCAGCATCGTTATATATCAACGGTTTAGAATCCAATTGTGGTGATAATGGCGTTGCAGCAACCACACAACCAGGAATATCCCATGCCTCTCTATCATCACATAGATATTCAATCGAATCGTCTTCTCCATCCATCAACCATTTTCGATGATTATGCTCCTCTTCTGCTTCTCCAGTGCATCCACTCATTCTAACATTGTTGCTAACACGGGTGCTTTTCACTTTGGCTGATGATTTGGGAGTTGAATTGTTCAACACTAAAGTTCGCGTCTTCCCGCTAGGCGTTCTCCGTGATGCTCCAGATTTTAATGGTTGATTTCGACTAATGTCCGGTGTGGGAAATGGCGTATCCCCTGATACATACGAGACGGTGCTAGGAGCAGTCAGGCATCGTCTAACAGGTTCATCGTTTTGGTTTTCTCCCCATCCCGTTATAGCATCAAATGTATCAAACTCTAGTGAAACGTCCTGCTGTTGGCTGTTGGTATTTAATGTTGATTTGTTGGTTGATTCTATACCACTCCTGGAATTGTTCATTGTTGCGACGTCTACGTTTCGTGATTTCATAGTTATTGAGGACTTGTATTGCTTCGTAGCTGGAGGCCTCTCGTTAGATTTCCAAGTTGCGCCCATCATTTGCACGGCATTGTTGGAGGAAGAGTTCGAGAGGAACCTTACTATTTCAGAGCTGGCCATAGGTCTTTTATAAATTCCTTAGCAGGTACGATTCAGTATTGCCGGATGGAGGCCCTTGCGTTGTCCCTCAAGATGTAGAGCTTTTGATTCACGATTTCTCGGAAATTTTCAATTTGATGACTCGTTCGACCACCATGTGTTCGTCGATATATAAGAGACTCTCCCTGCGAACACACGAACCATCAAGGGAATACAAGCCTCGTTTTTTCGTTGATATAAGCTTGGCAGATTTCGCCATGGAACAAACACCAACGAGGCAGGGTTTGGTGACTGAGCTTTCATGTAACAGGAGGTATATAAGCAAAGAAGCAAAAATATAAACGAATACTCTAAACATGGATATACAAAAGTCTGCAAGGATAATAGCGAGTGATGTGTGTGCCAAAAGCAAGCAAAAAACTTTTACGTGCAGATATCCAACTTCCAAAACTGCTCCAGCTAGGCAAAGCATCAGAAGAGCAATACACCTTCAACCTCTTCCAACCTCCCTTCTTCTACTTCTTTCAACTCCCGATACAAGACCGAGAATGGGAACACTCCAGCATTATTTGCAGCAGCGACTTCCACATCCTTTTCAGCTGTAATAACACTACGATTGATTTTTACAGGCCAGAAATCATACAAGATGATATCTGAGCTACTCAATCCTACAGCCAACGTCATCCGATCAGCAGACATGTACATACTCGTAATGTATTGGTTGATGACAAGATTCTTGTCGTATGGTTTTAGGGTATAAAAGTGGTGGCCAGTATGTAGATTGAAGACTTGGATACGACAGTCTCGATGGTTTTGAGATGCAAAGAGTAGGGGTCCTTGAATGAGAAGTTGGGAGGTACAATGCTCACTCCACTTCTTTGATTCACCAGTTCGAGCATGCAATGCGTGACAGCATTGATCGAAGGTGTGAAGATGTTGACCAGTTACGACGTCAAATACCAGTATCTAAGTAGGATGGTGAAAGATACTCTACGTGAGGAACAAAAAAAAAGAACCTCACAGAAAGTGTTAGCTTACAAAGTTCGAGCTTCGAGTAACAACGACAACATAATCACCACCAATAGCCACATTCTCAATTTGCTCTTCAGGATTGACATATCGATGTACATCAATAGTCTCCTTGCATTCAGTTTTATCAATAGACCAAATATTAATCCATCCATCATGAGTAACAACCAAAAGACCAGCTTCCTCATCAGCAGCCAAGACTGAAGCAGGATATTTGGCACAAGGACTAGCAGAAGCCGCTGGTATAACATACTTTTCTTCAAGAATACCATCACGCATTTTATACATTTTGATGCATTCATGGTCGTCATCTATAGTAGCACAAGGACTCGTGACCAGCATACTAGCTTCTGGCAAGAAGCAAGCATCGAATACTGGCCCATTCAAACGACCCAATTTTCGTGAGTGGCTTGCGAACGACCACAAATTTGTCATTTGAAGATTTGATGGTCTCCATAGCCCATCAGCGCGATATACTATGCCCAACCTCATGTCTATTGTGAGGAAGGCTTTCGGGAGTGGGAATGAGCTTGGTGAATCGAACATACGGCGATCTTCAGATGGCACGACCATATAAAAATGCTTGATATCATTCGATAACTTTGTTGCAGAATCACTTGTTGCCAACTTTTGAGCTTTTGCCATGGCTCTTGTTGGGCGTGATTGGATCATCAGGTGGGATGTCGGAGATATGAAGCCATCCTTGGAGATCCTGGATACAAAGGTTGTATAGCAGAGGCCTTCTGTAATCATTTGATGCCATATATAAACCTATGTTTTCAAATGGAGAAAAAAAAGTTAGGCGCTCGATTGCTCCAAATGGTAACAACGCTTACCTTTTTCCAAGTTGATAAACGATCTGCAACAGTAGCTCCAGGATCAAGCTCCATGACACGATGCATCCACATTCGTTTATCAAACTTGTTGAGACTTCGATTCCAGAAGCGAGAGACACGATGAGCCTTGAGTACAGTCTTGTTGTCCAAATATTCCAGGATTCGTAAAGTAATTTTGAGCTCAAAGCTGTAAAGGCTTTCTATCAGTTTTTTTGGCTTCAAGTAAAGGCCAACAAAACACTTCGTGCAGCATGTATACCTTCTGGGGAATCGAACAACAACTGCCGCTTGCTCTTCATCCTCCTCAACTTCTCCAATAGCATCCTCCTCACCACATTCCATATCATCATCTTCGTAGAGGTACACGTCATTAACCTTGTCGTGGTCACGCTCGGAATCCAATGGCATTGACTCTTGCCAATCGATTTCATCATACAAAGTAGCTGAGTTACGAATCTGTTCGACTTTGTCGTCCTCCTCGTCGTCTGATTCTTCATCGACAATTTGGTGTTTACGATGTGGTTTGGATTTGGACTTGGTAGTAGATGCTTTGGGTTTGGATTTTGGTTTGGGTTTCACGTTTGGTACTACTAATTCTTCGTCACTACTACTGCTACTACTACTGCTCCTATCGTATTCAATATATTCGAGAGGTTCGTCGTCGTCCCAAAGAGCAATGAAGGCAGCAACTTTTGGTGGTCGGACTTCTGCTACTTGGAAGAATGGCTCGACTGCTACTATAGCTGGTGAAGCGTCTGATACAGATGGTAATACAGGTGGTGGTGATGCATTTGGTGTTGATTCTGGTTGAGCGACTATCATAATAGGTGCGGAGGCGTCTGATTCACATGGTGATACAGGTGGTGGCGATGAATTTGGTGGTGATTGTGGTTGACCGACTACTACTATAGGTGGTGAAGCGTCTGATGCAGATGGTGATGTTACTGCATTTGGTAGTAATTCTGGTTGGGGGACTATATGAGCAGAATCCTCCTCTAAAGACATGAAGCGTACTTCTACCAACTCTTCCTTCCATACTACTCGTTTCTTTTTGCGAGATGGAGATCCTTCACTGCTACTGCTACCACCACTGCCTTCACTATCATCACTGTCATCATTACGACGTCGTTTCGCGTTTGAATCTTGTTGATCTGGCACATTTGACAGGTCAGACGAAGAGTCTGACTGTGCCGCGGTAGAAGAACCAGAGCTTATGTCTGGCACCAGTGGTGGAAGCAGAGCATCACGCGCTCCTATTTCAGCTTCCAAGATTTCGAGAAGTTTTCGACGCTCCTTCTCTTCAGCAATAGCCTGTTGCCTAGCAATAGATCTCTCTCGTTTGGAGAGTCGTTGAGCTCGTAACGTAGTAGGGAAGTTCTGAAGGACGCCATTATCATAAACGAGACTCGAAAGCAGTTTAGGCATTATGGCGTGTAGTTGCCTGCCAAAGCTTGAAACCCTATCAAGGAGCGAAAACGCAGTCAAATACTTGTTCGATGACAAGCTTAAATACGACGGCGTCCAACAATATACGTGCCCGTACTAGCTTGAAATCTCAGAATGCGGCTTGGATATTATAGCTTTGGTACATTCTGGGTGTTGATGATGAGGTTTTGGACTTTGGGAATTCTGACAGTAAACGAAAAGTCACCCCACGTTTTGGAACCGACTTTTTTTGGCTCGTCGTATGAAACTTTCGAAGGTTCGAATCCGTTTTAAGATTGCGATTTTCGTCCCCGATCGCCGCGAATGAATTGTTCTGCTAAGTTGAATGTAAAGAGACGCGTCAAAAGTTGTGTTTACACAGTTTGTATGGTACCAATCGCTATTGAACAAGCCGTGATTTACCCTTTCGTACGTGCATAAAATAAGATGTCTCCTCTTCGAATGTTCCGGATGCCTCTCTTTCACCTGCTATGCAGTATAAAGCTAAACATAACAAAACAAGTTCTGAGGGTTTGGCAAATATGAGGTTTTTCTGAAACTACTTAAAATGATTTTTTTTTGTATTGAGACAGATGGACCTGTCCATGCACGACAATTCGGGTTGCATCGTGCCGGGTGGTCTTGCTCTGGTCTTCACGGTCGTGAAGGTGGTGTATTTGAAGGTATCTTACAGTGACGATTTGAACAATTAGGCAATGAGTGTGTAAATTCCAGATACTACTTGTTCTTTGTCCTCAAATATGCAGCTAGAACGAAAATCGTCAGGTTTAGAAGGTACAACAAAGGGTTAGAATGTAAATAACGAAAGCAACTGGTACATACCTAGTTTCTCTACAGCTTCAACAGCGACACTAGCATACATCTCGGCATCGTAAGCAGCAACAACATAATGTGTGGTTGTTTTAGCACAAAGTATTCCACCTTGAGCGTTTTTAGCATAAACCGACATCTTGTCTGCCCTTACAGCACGATATTGTTTGCCCATAAAGAAGACACCATCGTTTTGACCTGTTCCTCGTGCTACAGCAGGTGAATTGAAGGAAGTTTCTAAAGTGACCCATTCTGCTTGAGACATCTAGTTTGAAGTGAAGAAAGTGTCATTATACCAGAGACTGAATTTTAAAGTACCATATCGCCATTTGCAGTTTAACGCACTCCGAACGAACAGTTCTCAAAAATCAATTCAAACCGTGTTTGATGTCTCGTAACAATCACCACCACCACGACCCAAAGTCGAGAAGCAATATTCGTGCACGATAGAAATCAATGTAACATACCTCGAAATTTGCAGATTTAGTCTTTGGTATGCCATGTTTGTTCAGTATCGCAGCATGGGAAACATTTCGTGTTGACAAGATCCCTTCTGAGAGTAGAGCATTCATATGTATAGATCCGTACGCTTAATCAGTAGATCTATTGACTATGGTAATGATCTACTAGATGATCTGACTAAGAGACTGTCCTTGTTTGTGTTTTGTTTGTTAACACACAAGACCAAACAAGAAAAATCGACAAGAGCTCTTCCACTGGCTCTTCCACTGACCCACTGGCTCTTCGACAGCTTATACGTTTTGAAAGGCGACTATATATTTACATCAAAGAGTTCTATATATTAAACTACCACCACCATCTAAATTCTTCAGATCCTCAGAGCATAAACATGCACAGTGGCTCTGATCTCTGCAGGCCCACGATCAACCTCAAACATGGGCTTCAGCCGCTCCTCAAACATTTTCTCAACTTTAAAATTAAAGGGGTCAGCCTGTGCCAATTCAAAGAACGCCATATCTTTATGAGCTAAATCTGGCCTGTGATGTGAGAATGGCACATACACAATCCCTGTTCCTTCTGCTAATGTAGCCTTCACTGATTTCAGAAGGGCAATGTGTTGAGAGTGATTGAAAATCACATCTGCTAGAATGACGACGTCGAATTTAGATGTGTTGAATGGGACCAATTCGTTTAAGATCGGCGATACGTCGTCTCCCCATAAATGTCCCTGTTATCGAAAATTTTAAAATAGGTGAGTGTCAGCAATGATTCACTGTCGTTGTGAGTGGGCAATCATCAAACCCATTCGTTTTAAGGGCAAAAGTGGGCAATCCAACAAGCACTACCAGCCACCAGCTTCCAAGTATTCGCCTATACGGCTTACCATAATCTTAATGACACCACTATCTAGCAGCTCTGGTAGATTCACTCGAACATTATAGTCCATGTTTTCAATCAAATTCTTCTCGGGGTAATCAGTAATGACTGCCAGCTTGCACCCATTAATAGCCGATACGAATGAGGGTAGAGCAGCGGCAGCTCCCAATTCTAGCACACTTTCGGGGAGAACCGAGATTTGAGACTCGTTGGTTGACAATGGAAGGGAAAGCGAGCCGTTGCTGAAAATGTATGACACTCACGTTTTACCATGACATAGCTGCTTGTTATGATCCAGATGCCGCGTAAGCACAATTCCTACAGAAGTTTGGGGTGGTGATATGATTCAACATTTGCCTTTAAACTTGACTCATAAAGCACGCTGAAATCATTTGGAAATCTACCAGCATTCCATAACATGTGACCCCATAACGAATGTGGAGAAATAAGCCTTAATTGGAACTGCGACGGGGTACCTGTAAAGCAATTTTGAGATGTCAAAAATGTCAGCAATCAGCAATACATCACAAACCAAAAAACAGAAGCAAGTTTCTGTATTTACCTCCTTGAACGTCTTCGGGAGTTCGATCAAACGTAGTGAATGTCGGCGGTGGAGTCTTTGGTCTGAAGTCTTCGGGTTCTTGAAAAAGTGACAGTTCTTCATCAACAAGAATCTCTTCGTTCGAGTCAATGTTTGAAGGCATAACAGTAGATTTCACTTCCTCTGACGATGGATCTCGTGCTAATATAGTCATCCTGTTTGTTGGACTGATAGCTGTTAAGTTCTGAAAAAAAAATGCGCGGTGGGGACCCTCCTATTGTTGCGAGTTCGAGTTTGGTATCTTTCGTTTTTGGGATAATTTTTCTGTCACATATGACAGATTATGCTGAAAATGCCCGTCTTGACTATATTTGCATTGGTGGTCATCGCTAATCGCTAGCCAATTGGAATAACCAACTCAATGCCCTCCACAGTGAGTTACGCAAATGACAAGAACGAGAAATTTGTCGTCCGACGTGGATAAGTATCATGACTTCCATTGAATATTTATAAGCAGTAGTATCTTTTATTGCATAGAAGCAGTGGTTCTTCTCTGGAACTCGTCGCCAGCATATCAGAAACCCCACGTTCAAAAGTTTAAATTACATTTCGAGTCAGACTTTCCCACTGAGAGTATGAGATATCAACGCACCAAGTATTTTTACGGATGTTGCATTGTATTTATACGATTTGCAAGCAAGGTGCTACAGTTCATTTATTACTGTCGCCACGAAACATCGAGTTCTTTGATTTGCCATGGAAAGAGAGAAATGGAAGTGCTGTTGCGAGGATATGAACGCAGAAATAGGTACGAGAACCTTGGACCTTGACATTCTCACACTATTGAAACCTGACTACTACTATACCACGAAACGAATCATCGCTAAGCAAGAATGGTGACGATGCGAAACGAGCCCGTTTCAAGATGCTGTCTTTCTTTGGAATATTGAATATGGCCACTACTTCCACTGTCACCAATTTCCAATTTCAAAGTGACGCCGTCGTTTGTCATTGTGCAACTCTTTGCTTCATTTGTATGGGTGAGAGGATTTTGCGACAACCAAACACCATCGCCTTCGCTATGTACAAATCCACACTGCTGCCACTGCTACTAGCTGCGATTCTTATAAGCTCTGTATACGCTCAAGATGCCAATGACACTGCTACCACTCCTGATGCAACGTCCACAGACCCCGCCCAAGAATCAAACGTACTTTAATTGTGCATGGGTTGGCATCAAATCGATTGGAATTAATGCATCCATCACGTTCTAATAGGGCAATTTTGCTACCGGGAATGTTAGTGTAGCGTTCGGATTGGTGAGCCATGGTCATGGAAAAAACTATTTCGTGGGAATTGTGGAATTGTGTGGTGAATTGCACGAGGGTGTTAGATGGAATGGGCTGCGGCTGTTGAATTCAATTGAATTGAATTTGGCTGGAATATGCAAACTGAAGGCTAAATGCAGTCCGAAGTTAAAACGACTTATGTTGTTTGAAGGACTTGATGATACAATATTTCATCATTCAACCACCTGTCTCATCGCATCTTACCCTTAACTCAAACGAATAGGTCGGGCTCGCAGCATGTGCATCCATCTTGGCTGCATTCATACCCTTCTTAGACCGGACTAGTCTCCTACCTTTCAAAATATCAAAATCGCAGGCCTTCCTAGCTGGCTGTCTCGGATTAGCTGCGGGCGTGTTGGCATACCTAGCAACAAGCGACGTGCTAAGTGATGCACAAGCAAACATTTCTTCATCAACTGTTGTCGACCCACAACACACCGTTACGATATCGTTGGGAGTGTTTCTTGGTGCTATTGTATGTATGATGGTGTTGACTAAAGGTCTGGGACGTGTATTCCGTCATGATCATCATGGTCATAGTCACAATCCTGGGGCGGTAGAGAGTTTTGTTAAAGACGGTGAAGCTGGTGGTGAAGAAATCACAACGGAGGTTGTCGACTTTAACAGTCATCATGAGCGGTTATCGTTACGGCATAGTATGATGCCAGTTGTTGTTGGATTGGCGCTTCATAATCTGTTTGAAGGACTGATGTATGTGGGAAGCTCAGACATTTTTTGTCGTTGTTATGCATGCCTTGTTAATCGAAACTGATTTGAAACCCTTTTCGATATTTTAGTATCTTCACAGGTGCTCTCGGATCTGAAAGCTTGGGTGTCTTAATATCAGTTGGTCTCATCTTTCATAAAGTACCGGAAGGACTGGTATTGTCGTTACCATGGTATTATGCGACTGGATCTGAATGGTTTGGTACGCTGTCCTCCAGTTCTGCACGATGTAGAAAAAGACTGACTCAATGCAATTGGTGCTATTAGGCTTGCTATTCGCTGCCCTAAACTCCATCTTCTTGTTCATTGGGGCAATCCTTGGATATGTAATCTTTGTCACGCACTGGGATACTCTTGCCAGTGGAATCGTACTGAGTGCTGTGGCTGGAATCCTGTTTTATATTGCTGTAAGTGCCACAAAAAACAATCAAGATGCAAACCTATAAATCAATATTGATCCAAACCACACTGTTTTCAACCAGATCCACGGACTGCTGCCAAACGCACGAAAGTATGATCCAGAAGACAAGGTCGTGACATACTGGTTCTTTATCGGTGTTGCCATAGTCTGTATTAGCCAGTCGGTGTTGTCCTATACCAGTGATTGAACACCACAACAACACGCTACATATTCAACAGAGGACTTGAATTTGTTTGCTCCGACATTTGTACATTGTAGGTCTTAATCATTAATATACCAGTTTTGGCTCATTAGCCAGTCTATTTTTGCATCACTTTGGGAACTCCAGTTCTTTCTGATGATTGATCTGATAGTTCTATTACTGCAAGCTTCTGAATATCACGTCCCAATCGCGTCCTCCACTTATTGAGGCTCTCGTTCAGTTCGATGTTCCTATAGGACACAGTCGATTTGCGAAAATTTCAAGCAGTTTTTATATCAGCTAAATACAAAGATACATTTTGTTAACGTTTTCTTCTCTCCACAAATCCTCGAGACAGTTTTTGCTTATTTCCCTCCCTTTATTACTCTCTCAATTGGCATTTGTGTTTGCGAATTTAATATTCTTGAGATTGAGCGGCCTAATAGAATGTAGGCGAATAGTTACAGTGTTGTGGTTGTGATTGGAAGCGACATGCTGAACTTCGTCAATGACTTAAGCGACGCTGCGATTTGTTGGTCTTACCTTCTTGGATTTGGGAGCTTTGGGAGCTGCTGCAGGTTCAGCAGTCTTCTTGGGCAACAAGTTGGCGTGAATGTTGGGCAAGACCTAATCCGTTGAAATTTATAAAATGAATAAGACCTTTAACACAAAAAAGACCACAACAAATTGTATAATAAGAAGAGATCATAAGTACTTACACCACCCTGAGCAATAGTAACACCACCCAAGAGTTTGTTCAATTCCTCATCGTTTCGGACGGCCAATTGCAAGTGACGAGGGATGATACGGGTCTTCTTGTTGTCACGAGCAGCGTTACCAGCCAATTCGAGGATTTCAGCAGCCAAGTATTCGAGGACTGCAGCCAAGTAGACAGGAGCACCTATTGATGAATTGAATTGAATATGGTTGGTGTAAGGTCGTTGAAAGCATCAGTGTGATGATTGTTGTGCGAAGTGATTGAAGCACTTCGCAATTGATTTGGATGGACGGCATTGACCACATGCTCCGGCACATCGATATTACAGCAACCCAAAAGACGATGTTTCCGTCCCTATTCCTCTAATACCGAGAACATATACATACCACTGCCGATTCGTTGAGCATAGTTTCCTTTACGGAGGAGACGATGGATACGACCGACAGGGAATTGCTGTGTAGAATAGCATGAATAGTGAATAAACAATATGATTGTATGTAATTCTTTACGAATGAGGTGGTTTTCAACATCCACATCAAACATCGGAATGAATGATTCTCAATACAACAGACAAGATGATACTTACGAGACCAGCCTTTGCAGAGCGAGACTTTGTTGTCTTTGCGGCTTCTTTGGTAGATTTTCCTTTGCCTATTGTGGGGAAGATGTAGATGAATAATGGGCTTTCTTTGTATATCAGTCGCTGTCTTGTGACAATCGAGATTCAATCAATATGACTGAATAGAGAATCAGCATCGCGCATACCTCCGGCCATTTCTGATAGTGTCTTTTGGTTGTAAAGAGATGGGTTCTCGGTTGTTATAGTGTGTTTTGATTTTTGCGAAGTTGGGGATGAAGAAGATTGAATGCTATCAGTGCTTGGGACAGGCCGACAAAATCTGGCAATGGAAATGGAGATTTGAGCGTGTTATAGACGTTATAGAGTAGATTCTATAATTCAAATATTGAATGCCGGTATCTAGTGAACTTTTCACTTCCGATTACATCTTGAAATATGACAGATCGACGTGATTTCTATGTGTACTCGTATAGAGTAAGAATGGATTCAATTGATTCTCGATTCTCCTCTCTTCGCCGTGTATGACGCGCTCCTTCACGATGTACTGGATGCTTGCTCTGCATCGTTGACTTGGATTCCTTGTCTCTCCTCGCCAAACACTCGCAACAACAAACCTGTAAAGCAACTCTTCCAATTAGCAAATCTATAATCAGTCATGCCTCCAAAAGAAACCGGTGGAAAGAAGGTATAAACGTCATGCTCTCCTCGTCCTTCTATCTCGTCCTTCTGTTGTTTATCGTCAAAACATGGATTTTACAAACATCTCGATTCTTGCATCGAATCAAACATACTATACCGTATACTAACATGCCAATTATCTCCACTCTACTGAATAGCCCGCAGGAAAGATGGTACGTCCTCCTTCTCTCCCTTCCTCGTTCAATCGTTCATCACAATCACATCAATTACATTTGGGGTGAAATCATAACAACCCGTGGAATAACACTAACAGCATATATATCATTCTATTTATAGCCTGCCAAGACTGCTGAAAAGAAGACTACCAGTAGTGACAAGAAGAAGCCCAGAAAGGCAAGGAAGGAAACCTACTCCACCTACATGTAAGTGTTCTGTTCTGTTGTTTGAATGGAATGACTATTATGAACGATGATCATCATCATGATCGTATGAATCGATTTAATCCTATGATACTCATTATTCCGTTATATCCATTCAATCGTTCATTACCTTTGAAAATCGCCTCACGATTGAACTTCGCTTTACTCACAACCACCTCCCATCTATATAGCTACAAGGTCTTGAAACAGGTTCACCCTGACACTGGTATCTCCAACAAGGCCATGTCCATCATGAACTCTGTATGTTTATGATCATCGTGTTGACTGCGCACATCAAGAAACGGAAAGTGATCTAACCTTCGTTCTGCCTCATTATAGTTCGTGAACGACATCTTTGAACGTATTGCCACTGAAGCATCCAAGCTTGCTTCATACAACAAGCGTTCAACAATTTCTTCTCGTGAGATCCAGGTGAGTTGTCATCACTTTCTTTGGTAACACATTCACTCATCATGATCAACTTATCATTTCAAAACCATTCTGCTATAGACTTCGGTACGTCTCATTCTCCCTGGTGAACTCTCTAAGCACGCCGTCTCTGAAGGCACCAAAGGTACGATCTAGAAAGCATGTTTCTCGTAGCGATATTGAGAGCGAAGCTTGACTTGATGCAATGCTAATCATTTCCATATGATTCATTTTTTAGCCGTCACCAAATACCAATCATCCAAGTAAACACAACATATGATTGAAGGACGTTTCAAAAGGGGCTGCTTATATATTTGTTGTTGTTTAAAAGAAGGACGTGTGTGTTAGGGAGGATAAGAAAGGGAGAGGGGCCAAATGTGTATATGTTGTTGTTATGTGCTTTTTTACGACTGAAAATAAAATCAAAGCAAAATGCTTCTTCCAAATACGATTTATGTGTGCGGTAGTTTGAATCGAGTGAAAATTGTGCAAAGAGTGTGGGTATTTGATGCGAGGCAAAGAGGTTATCGTATATGCAAAAAAGTGAAGGATATGAGGGAATGAGGACGTGTTTCCAGCCTGCCCCCAGCAACATCGTTCATATGTTGTCTACGCGTACTGTCCCTGATTGAATAGATTGATGTTTATGATTGTGGTGACGAGGACACCAAAGAAAGCAGACGAGACCAACGATTCAAATCTTGGTTGTATGAATCCCTCCAAATCTAAACATCTTTGGCACATAGCTCCCGTCACACATATTCTTCCGTCGACACAGGTAAAAGAGTGCCAAGTAACATACTTTCATCAGTATGATCTATCGGACAAGAAGGAGGTCGTGGACGGGAAGATGAAGGAGATAGTTTCACTGTCAAGCTTGTTGGGAAAGCTTCCCCTATCGGCAACATTTGCTTATTATACAACTGCCTTTCTTGTTGATGCCTGCAGGTTGCTCGTCAACTTCTTGACTGGACTTTAGGAGGGTGCGGGGTGCCATTTACTGCTTCCATGATTAGCCTGGTTTCTCGTCATGACTGGCTTGCCAAGATACTTTCAGTTCTATCCGACCAAATCTTACCACCAGCAGCCCAACCGAACTCTCCCATATGAACCATACTGCTTCGATGTCGCACCACTCGGTCTCATCAAAAGCGCAATCCGTCATGGCATCACCAGGCCCAATAAAATGACATTGGTCCTCAACCGTTGATGAAGCATAAATGCGTCCAACCCGACATCAAAGCACCTGGTTTAAAAGATTTGGCTCGTGCAGTTGAGTCTATCAAAAGTAACTAAATATCTAGATGGCTGGAATTGTAGGCACACATGGCGCAATCGAATGATAGTTACTACATGGAACCCATATATATCGAATCGAGCTATGCTTGAAAGTGACGTGGACACTGTTGCTGTGGATGCGTAGAGTATGGGAATAGAGTCAAAAATTTGAGGGCTTATGAAGCATCCCACATGTACCAAATTTTTGTTTGAATAGCACTTTCAACTTTTGCTCCCATGTAAATCTCTTTATCTCTTTCCGAACGTTTCAGCTACTGTTGCTTTACTATGAGAGGGTGTGATATATTATTGACAAAAAAACTCAGCCTGGAAGTTTGTTTCACGAAACACTGAAGATCTAACCTTCCGACGGTGGCTGCACTCTAATGGCAATAAAAAATGATTAGTACCACGACAAAAATGGAGCCAAAGTACAAGCCTATTGCTTACTGCAGCTTCCCACCAAACTCCTCAGCCCGCCCCTCTAGATACACTTTAACGTGATCAGCATCCTCTTGCTTAGTAGCTTCATACACAAACCTCGCAACAACAACGCCACTATCCTCATCTCTCCTACTAGAGTCACTAACATTTTCGTAAACAACAGCATCCTCAAACAATCTCAAATCATGAATCTCAACAAGATCATGCACGAGCGACACTTCTTGCATGACTCCAAGATCCGCAGTTTCAAAGACTATATGATTCTCTACACGAGTTTCTGCAGCTTCTCGTATTGTCTGAGACCACGTTACAGAAGCATCATGTTCAACCTCCAACACCGGTGACTCATCAGATGCTGGTGCAATGAGTTCCATAGCAACAGCTAAACGTTCAGATACAGCTGCGATAGCTACTGCTTGATGATTGTGGTGCTCTGGTATTGCTATCTGTCGTGGTGGCAATGCAGTGAAATCGTCCAAGACTATAGGCACTGATGTAATTAAATCGTCCATGACTAGAGGCACTTCAATATCCTGTTTGTTGTTTGGTATTGCTGGTTGAGATGGTGTTGATTGTGAAGGCGGTGTAAAGTCTCGTTGTGCTGGAGCCTCATTTATTCTAGTTGAAGCATGCAATGACGGGTATGGTGATGATGTGTATGGAGAGGTATGGTATGATGTATCTGGTCGTGGTGGTGATTGCTAAAAAAATGGGTGCTGTCAAATGATGAATGTTCCTGGAAACAATTTCTTCTCTGACCATCTTGGGAGCAGTGCAGGATGATATGGGTTGTCGTGGTGGTGATTGCTGAACAATATACAGTCAGGAATATATTACAGGTCTGCAAACACTCTCGTCTTACCATGTTGGGAGTAGTATGGTATAATGTATTTGGTTGGTATGGTGATTGCTGCAAAAAAAAGCTCACGTCAAACAGGCGGTAATTTCTCGAACCAAATTGTTTACTTTACCAGCTTGGGAGCAGTATGGTATGATGTGTCCGGTCGTGGTGGTGACTGCCAGAAAAGGACACCATTAATATAGATGTTCTGAATACATCTTACAGCCACTTCTTCACCTTACCATCTTAGCAGCAGCGTGATACGACGTGTCCGGTCGTGGTGGTGATTGCTGCGAAACAAAATGATTTCAGTGCCACCATCCATAGCGCTGCAAGCCACTCTCGCCTTACCATCTTTGGCGTAACAGACAAAACACTCCCACTATAGCTCCGTACCGGCGAATACCTCCCCGAATGGTAATACTGTGACAGGAACGGCACAGGTTCCGGATGTGGTGCTGCCGTTCTTGCGATATGTGGTGTTGCCAACAGGTTATTATTGTTGTTGTTGTTGTTTACAGATGAAGTAAATAACGGAGCCATCACACTTGGGAGGGATGAACGTGTGTTTGTTGATGATGCGAATACGGGGTCTGTTGGGACGCCGTATCTAAACGTTGAGTAAGATACTCAGCGGGGAAAACAACATTGTATGTTCTGGTAAAGGCTTACTTTTTGCGAATGTTGGCGATAACCGTATCAGGGTCTGATCCAGTATTGAATATATCGGTATTTGGTGCTTTGGTTTGCAATACCTTTGGATCTGGCACCGATGGTGTCGCTATAGTCCGTTTTGGTGATGATCGAGACAACAAGTGAGACCTAGCGAAAAAAAAACATTTTTATAATCGAAGCATACATAATAAACAGGCACAAACAACAACACATACCATTTCTGCAACACAACATCCGCCCGTTCATCCAACCCCCCATCACCACCTTCCTCATGATCCCTCACATCCCTATACTTTATACGTAGCGACCGAATCGTAGAATCCGGATTCAAATTTTCTGTATCTTCGTCATCATCGTCCAAACCATAGTCGTAATGTTCAGTATCATCCAAATCACTATCAGTTGACCGTGTCGAATCCAACGTCATGGATGAAACAATAGATGAAGACGGTGATGATGTTGAGTCTGTA